TAGAAAGACGATAGAACACATTTTACAAAAACAAAATACACATCTATCCCGAAGAAGACACTTCTGAGTCACTTCTGGAAGATAGAAAGACGATAGCACACATTTTACAACAACAAATATACAAAAAAAAAACTATCTCCCAATTCACTTCTGGAAGTTGATAGGAAGATAGTAAAGCAAAGGTCCCAAAAATTTACCGATATTCTGGTTTTACTGAACATTTTTTTGTATTTTCCTTTGACCTGCGTACTGATTTTGCTGCAAAGCGTCAGTTAGTTTCTAGATTGCTGACTTGCCAGTGCAAGTCTGAAAATTGTTAAGTGTTTAAAGATATTATTGCGTCTAACAACGCGTACAATGCCGGAAAAAATGCAGCACATGTTAAGATCAACTATTTTTTTATATAAAGGTAATGCACATCAGTTTCTAAATATGCTTTTCATTATAATAATATTATTTGTTTGTTTTCTTTTAGAGTTTACATTTGTTAAATTTCTGGATGATTCAGAGCTGAAAAATCAAAAAATCTTCCATCAACAGTTCATCGGGTGTACAAGCGTCGAAAATATACAAAATTATATTAAAAAAATATATTAACATATAAGTTATTATATTTAAAAAAAATTAAATTTTTAATAAATATAGTAAAAATATATTCTATTATTTTTTTCCAATTGGGAATATTCTTCTGGGTAACTTCTGGAAGTGTCGCGGAAGTCACTTCTAGAAGTGTCGCGGAAGACACTTCTGGAAGTGTCGCAGAAGTCTCTTCTGGGGGGTGACGCAGAAGTCACTTCTGGAAGTGTCGCGGAAGACACTTCTGGAAGTGTCGCAGAAGTCTCTTCTGGGGGGTGACGCAGAAGTCACTTCTGGAAGTGTCGCGGAAGTCTCTTCTGGGGGTGACGCAGAAGTGTCACAGTTCTTCCCGACGGACGTCACTTCCGCGATCCGAAAGCGATAGTCGCGGAAGATAGTTTTATCTTCCAGAAGTCACTCAGAAGTGTCTTCCGCGATAGAAAAGGCTTGCAGGGTTTGTTTGTTTTCGTGTGCACATTGACAGGCATTACAAACAGAAATGCCAAGCCAAATGTCAAACAAAACATTTTCTTTTTGTGCAATTTTGGGAAAACCGAAATGTCCCAGTTAACAATAAAGTAATGCTCTGATAGATGTTCCAGATCATTGAAATCAAGTGCAAATTTCACTCTCCCAGCCTACTGATACTGAATTGCATTCAACATATGCTTTTTAATGAGCACCGAACTTTATCCCAATTTCTTAATTTAATTTTCCATGAGCCTTTTCTAACTATTATCGGTTTTTATGGCTTTTTGGGTCCAAAGAACACTAAATTTCTGAGTAAAATAGATGCAACGCAATGTTTAGGAAGAGTTCGTTGAAAACCCTTTCTAGGAAAGGACTTTTGCGCCTATGCAATCATCGCATAGCTCCGAAAAGTAATATCCTTTGCATGGGCATAAAAATGCAGTATACACACATAAAACAGTGTGTGTTTTTTGGCGGCCCAAAGCAAAAGCGAAAAGCACAAACAAGCAAATATATTTATGTTCAAAATACACAAACAAACAAACAAATATAGCCGTGCAAGTGTACATACATATAAATATATAGCCGAATGTAATTGCCAAATAGTGTACATAGGCGAGCCTACGCACTCACGCTCACACACAAAAGCTGGAGAGAAAGAGAGAGAAAGAGAAAGATGAGGAAAAAGCAGCAGAGCAGCAGCAAAGGCAACTTTGCAGCGACGTCAGTTTGAGTACATAACAAATAAATGCTAAAATTTCACGAAATACCAAAAAACGCACACCCAAAAATGCGCGCACACCAATGCAAACACTCGCACTCACGCACACGACCGCAACGCACGCGCCCCACACAAACACACGTACACAGTGTGTATACAAAAGCATACAAACGCAAGCTGCAAAAGTGCGTTCGAAAACAGAATTTTGGGCTGTGGTTCGGAGGCCCAAAAAGTGGAGCATATAACGCAGAACCACCCACTCCCCACGCCCTTCAGCCACCCCCGAAGCCCCCTCTTATCCACCACCCCAAATTATGCACTGAAAATAAAGCTTATAATAAAATCTAATATTTCTACTTTTAATTTCAGTTTAGTTAATAAATAAATCTGTAGGTAGATCAATTCTTCATTTTGGTGTTACAATATTCATAGTTCAAATCAATTAAGTTTTTATGAAAGTTTAACAATAGGTGCAACATTTTAGGTACTATTATTAAAAGTTATACACATTTTTTTCAGTGTTCCGAACAAAAAGTTGTGTAGCTAAGCAAAAAGTTGAGTGACAAAGAGAAGGGGGACAAGATAGGCCCAAAAGTGCGTGCAGTACTGCAAAAGCAAACGGAGAGCCAAAAGAGAAGCAACAACAACAAATGAGTCAGGGGTGGATTAAGGGGTGGGGGTGGTTCGATGGCGCCCAACCAAAAGAATGCAGTGAATTCTCGTTGAAAGGAAGAGTGTTAGCTTACGGAAAGTTCTATCTAATATTCCAAGAAGGACTTTTTTGAATCAATTTTAGATGATATTCAAACTTTCGCTGTTGTGTTAAGAAAATAAAACCAACAATTTCATTCATGATTTTTTAATTTAAAAGTTTATTAAATACTACTTTTTTTTATAACAAACTTCTGATGTTTTGAAAAACCTATGTCATGGGCTTCCCTTCTTAAGAAGCCTACTTCCAGTGTTCACCTAAAATTTCTCACAAGAAGTTCATATTGGTAATTAATTTAATGGACGCCCGCGGCTTAGAATCCGCCGCAATCAATTTCGTTATTAATTGCCCTGCAATCGGAATTCCGGCCCTGCGATATGCGTCGCTGCCGGCGTCTTAGTCGGCGTCGGCAGAGCGGCCATTGAATGCTGCCAAAAATACGCAATACACGCACTCTCGCAAGCACACACACACACGCGTGCATGCACATAAGCGTTGCATTGGTGTGCGGCAAAGGCAAACGCAAAGCAAAAGCTCTTGCTCTTTGGATTTTTGGGCAGCAGCATAAAAGCAACGACGTCGACAGCGCAGTCGGTACTCCACGTGTTTCTTGGATTGCGTAAATTTTTCGTTTTCCCCCTGCCCCCCTTTTTGATCCAAAAGCAACAAAAGCAGCCGCTCATTCAGTAAGAGAGCGAGAGACAAAGATAGCGAAAGAGAGAGAACCACATGCGCTCTCCGTTCTTTGAGATTTTGTTGAGTTGTTTTTTGGCTTTGTCGCCAGTTAAGAATCAACTTTTAATTGATAGAAATAAAAGAATAGTTTTTGAATAGTTTTTTTCATATTTCGGTTAAATTAATTTGTAATTGTTTTCACTGTGCAGGAATTTGATATTTTAGATTGGAAAATGCAATCAAAAAAGGGTATAGTGACACTTGTGGGAATAAGGGAAGTTTTTGGGTAAAAATTGTGAACTATTTTGAGGGCTTTTGTTTCGGTTTTTAAGGTTTTGTGGGAAATATGCAAATATGTCAGAAATTGATCCTAGCTTAAAAAAAATGAAGTACAAAGGAAATTTTTGAACTGCTAATTAAGAAAGATTTTGAACTGAAAGTAATAACGAGGAAAGGTTTAAAACCCCTTGATTTTTTCACCCACTTCTCAGAACTACGTTTTTATCTGCAGCTCTGCAGTTTTCCCCATTAAAATACATACATATATGAGAAATTAGAGCTATTAGAGGTCGAGTCCTTTTCGGAAGTTCAGCCCAAAATTCTTATCCATAAAACCCTTTTTTTTGTTTCTATCTTAACTAACTTAATTGGTTGTCTATGCCGATCTTAAAGTGGGTTTTCTATTATATATCGGCTCATGAGAACCCAATTACTGCTGCATCTAGTATTTCAAGACCACCTGGATGGAAATCTCCCGCTGGGCGAATAGGTTAAGACCAAGTTTGGGTTTGCTTTTTATATTTCTGTACGAGATTTCCCTAAACATTTTCCACTTGAGCGGAGGTTCTCTAAATTACCTCATGTCCTTTGCCTTATGCAATTACGCCTGCAAACGAGAGCGACACGGAGAGCGGAGAAAGGGCGAGAGAAACTCACCCTCGGATTATGAGGATGTATGTAATTTTATCCTGGGGCGGCAGTGCATACACACAGAAAAAGAATGCAAAAAAAGGCAATTGCACCAGAGGATTATCTTCACTAAACTACGTACATTGTTAACCAAAAGATCGCTAAACAAGAATATTAAAATTTTGTTAAAGGTCCTTCATTGAAATCCTTTTATACCTATTGGATCTCTCCAATTTGACAGTTGCAAGTAGCTCGCCTGCATTCCAATTGGATTAATAGCGCAAAAAGAAGCAAGAACCGCAAGTGGTTGCCTCTCTCGGAGAGCGGGAGAGCATGGCGCTCTCTCTCTCTCTCTCTCTTCTCTCTCTGTCTCACGCGCACACAGTGCAAACTTTTGCATTTGCAATGGAGCCGCAAAGGCAAATCAAAAACAAAAGCACTCACTCACACAAGCATACTTTTATGCGGCGGGGGCGACGACGAACCAATGCAAAATGGGCGCACTCTCAGCGGCAGCAACTGCGACGGCAGCGCCAGCGCCATTCAATTCACAGTGGGACTAGAAGAGGATAAATACAACGATGCATATTGCTAGTTAGTTTAGAAAATAAATAAAACATTAGCGTTACACAATTTGACTCAAAAAAAGTTATAAGGAAGGAAATTATGTACATAAATATACTGTTTTGAATTTTTTTTACTCTATTTTATTAGATTTTAGCTTTGTACCACCGTGCAGAGAGCAGCGCTGCGTTTTTGCGCTCTCTCTATCTTTTTCCTCCGACTGTTGCTTTGCTTTTGCTTTTTGCTTTTGCATGTGTATTGGTGGTGGCTCCACAATGCGATTACTCTCCGTTGCGCCTCTGTCGCTGCCGCTGCCGACGTCGCTGTCCGCCGGCTGGGCCATAAACGAAATTTTGGAACACAACGCTCGTCTATTCGGCCCTAGGTTTCGGTGGTGCTCGCAGCTCGAGGAAACTAAAACCCTAAAATTTCAAAATCAAATCCGAAGAAACGCACACGAAACCGCTTGAAAAACAGTAATTCTCATATATTTTCATACGGAAAACTGCAGCGGATGAAGTGCAAAAAGCCGAGAAGTGCAAAAAGTTTGCCGCATTGAAAACTTTTTTAATTATTATTTACGTTTTGTTTGTGTTTCGTCGAGCAAATGCACAAAGTAACTGTCCAGTGTGTGTTAAAAGTGTTTGAGCATCGTGAGTTTTGCAAAACGGTTTTTTCGACCAGTGATTGAAGGTAATACATGAATAAAATAAATATTCATACCAAATAAATTGCAACATTTTTAAACTGAAACAAAAAGCCCAAGAGGACAAATGCAAGTGTGCGTGTATACTTGATTTTTCCAAAACTCTCTTGAAATTTGGGGTGTGTGTGTGCGTTTGCAACTCGAATTTCGAACGGTACAAAAGCGCAGCAAAAAGTGCGATCGAGCAGGCAAAAACCCGAAAACGCAAAAGCAAACTGCGAAAAAGTGAAGTAAAAACTTTTATGCATAACGCAAACGTCTGCATTTTTAATCAAGCAACAACAATAGAAAAATAAGCAAACGCAATAACAACAACAACAAGATGAACAGGGAACAATAAACAACCCTCCCCGTTTTCCGCCTCCCCCTGAAAATAAACAAGGCGCAATCCCAGTGAACTGAACCCCTTTTTTGCACTGTGTGTTTGTGTAATTGTGTGTGTGCAGGAGAAAGAGCCTTTAAGGGAGAATGGATGAAAGTGCAAGAAGTGCAATGAGGAAAATGAAATGCAATTAATCGACAGGACACTTGTCCAAGGGAGAAAAGTGAAAAACTATAATCTATTAAAAATATCTGAAAATATTTAAAAAAATATATAAAAAAAAATTTTCTTTTCCTTAAAATAACAGAAAACAAAATAGAGTGCTTAAGGATTTTTCCAAAAAGTTATCAAACACAGAAAACAAATCATATTTAACATATGAAAATTGTTTTTTCCACTGATTAGCTCACACATGTTCTCTCATCCCCAAAAAACTACAATTCCCAACGCCAAATAAAGCGTTTTTGGGAGCCTGTGTGGAATAAAAGATATTTGCCAGAAGCCAAGTGGGAATTAAAATCCGAAAACGAGAAAATGAAATATATGCTGCGATAAAAAATCCATTTATGCAATTCATTTTACGAGTCTTGTTGATAAGGAAAAAGTGCCACAAACAAGAATTTTGGAAAACTTTGAAAATAAAACTATATTGCACCTAAAATGTATTCATTAATATTGAAACTAATAACTATGGATACATTTTAAGAGAATACTTTTTTCCATTTTTCATTCTTCGAAATTTAATTTCATTTCTAATAACAATCTTCCCCCGCTTTTGTATTTGCAGCCAAATGTCACTGTGAAAATGTCTCGACGAGCAAATCACAACACAAATTTTAGCAACATCAAGAAAAACATTCAACGACGACAAAACCGGCGAATTCTACAAAATGCGAATCAAGCAACAGTTTTTGAACATTTAACTATCTAAATATTAATACCAAAATACCATTAAAATTATAATAAAAATAATTCACTTAAAAAAATGAACTGAAACTAAAAACATTTTCGAAAAACAACGCAAAATTTCAAAATTGGCAACATAACTTTTGGTCCCAAATCAAATTCAACAAAAATATATCTTCAAAAACGATTTTTGGCAACGCTACGTGCAACAAAACATCAAGTAAAATAACAAATACAAATTTTTTCAAACGTCCACACGTGCAAATGTTTTTCAACTAAGAATAAAATATAAATCAATGTAAATTTTTAAACCAAACAAAAGAACAAACCAAAACCGTCAGCAAAAACCAGCCCAAAATCAGTTAGAAGGCCAAGGAAAATCTTTTTAGAACAAACGCAAAAAACCGCAAAAATTTAAGCCACCAAATTGGTAAACTCTTCAAAATTATTGGTTCGGACATACGCAATACTAAACACAGCAACACAACATCAACCGCATCTACTACAGTGATCACTACAGTAAAAGCAACCGCAACAGAAGCAGCAAAAAAAACGTGTGTGTTAGTTTGCATAAAAATTTCGTTTCGATCAAAAGCAAAGCAAAAATATTTAACAAAATAAAAAGTTACCAATCGTAATACATGTATTTATAAAATAATATACCTATACATATATCTATGCTTACGAATTATATCGGAAAATATTTGGTAAACAATTTTTGATAAACAAATTGAGTATAAACTTAAGTAATAAGCAAGAAAACTGAAGAAATCAAAAACGTTTGGCAAAAGTGCAAAAAGTGCAGTGAGATAAAACATAAAAGAACTGATAAATTCAAAATTAACATTTGTAATTAGTTTTACAACTGAGGATTCTGGATTTGGATTAATACGAAAATTTGCAATTGGATATTAAGGTGAGTTTCGTTTAAGCCAAGATCTAATACTAAAACTAACTAATTACGTTTTGCAAAATGCCAAGACTTACTTTTTAATAACTTTCTGCAATGGCTGCTTCAAATTTCCCCACGCACGAAAAAGTGCGTAAAAATGAAAAATGTTTTTTTAGAAAGTGTCCACAAACATTTGCAAACAATTACTGGCAAGCGCTCGAAAAAAAACAAACTCCGCCTCTAATTACAATTATAATTTATGCCAACAAAAAGAAGGAAAACATTATTTGGTCAAGAGAAAAAATTGTCTACGCACTTTGCGTATGATTTATGACACTCAAAACTTGGCGTTGCATATTAATAACGAAAAAAAAGCAAAAGTTGCTTGCTTGACATTTCTACATGTGTAGATACACACATACACACTCCAAAGGGGTGTAGATACTTTTTAGGGTTGTGCATAAATTAAAAATATATTATTTCTGCTTCTTGCCACTGCACACAAGAGAAAAACGCGTCGCAGTTGACACGCAATATTTTTTGGCTGCGCTGCCGGCGCCGCTGCCACTTTGACCTACTTAGCAAACGCAGCGTGTTCCAAATTTTGTGCGTTGTGTACTTTTTTGTACCGCTCGCCCCCTCTCGCTCTCGCACTCGCCCCCTCTCGCTCGCACTCGATGGGGTTGGACTGGCGTTGCGTGCGCTTGAAATTGTAGTTTCGGTTTTGGTTGCTTGGGGTCTTCCGCATTTAATTAAATGCACAACAGTTTTTTCCCTAGTCTTTTTCAAGCTTTTACACGGTAAATAATTGTTTGAAGTGCTTAACCATTGATTAAACTATGTATCTTAAATAGCTAATTTTTAAATCATAGAAAATCATAGAGATACTTTTAGTTTTGACCAAATATAATTTATAACACATATGTACTTGTTTTACTTTTAAAGGAAACTAAAAGTTACAATTGAAAATTTATTTTTCTTTTTAAAGCTAATTTATTTACTTATATTGTGGTGCTTTCATATTAGTTGTATATTATAATTTTTCAGAAATATATTAAAACATATTTCGCATTTCTATCTGTGTACAATTTTCTTGGCCTTTTGTTTTAGTTTTTTGTCTACTGCATTTTCCCTTGTCGGAAGTGCGGCATTGTCCCGCTCTTTCCACTTTTCTTTGCCTTCTCACGTGCATTTGCACAATCGTTAAGTTTTTTTCTAAGAATAACTTGTCTTTGGAGCAGACTACGCGGCTTCTCCCTCTTCTTCTTCTTCTTCAGCTGGCTGTGTTGTAACTGACGCAATGCAACCGACTTCATTATTTTTTTTTTTATTTGCTGTTGTTGTCGGCACTTGCGCAAAGTGTCTATGATATGCTCCTAACCCCCCGCAATAACCTCTCACTTTTCCACAAAGGCAAACGCATTTCGGTTCTCTTCTCCAAATTGTTTTAATTTTATGACTTGCCACTGCAGTTGCTTGAATTTTAATGCGACCGATTACCAACAACAGCGTTGCAAGAAATTGTCAGTTGCCTGATTACAGTTCTTATATTCGGCGTTTTCAAGGGGTGGGCCAAAAGGTTAAGATGTCCCAACTGCATTTTTAAGGTAATTAGATTCAGAACTTAAGAAGTCTATGATTAAAAGAGATTTACCTACATACGTATAAATATTTTATTTCAGTTCGTATATGCTTAACTTTCTTTTTTTTTAAGACTCACAACGCCTTAATATTTAATCTATCGTAATCCTCTAATCATCACAATAGTCTACTAGTTGTAAAGCTCAACATTTTTTTTTAATTTTATGAACCATTAAGGCCAAGACACGCACTTACCTCTGCCAAGGGCTGCAATAAACTCAAAAAGCTGTAGGAAAAAATGAAACTTACACGAGACTTGACCATAAAGATTCATATGAAATAATCGCTTTTATGAACTGCTAATTAGGCTTATCAAAAAAAAAGTATGCATAGTGTTTCTTGGCTGCAAAATGTGGTAGAAGGCAGGGCTATCAACTAGCTAAGGAGGCGCAGGGGGCGTGGCGAACTAGAAACCTGTCTGTGACAGTAGAGTGACAATTTTTTCCTCTTTGTGTGTTTCCATGGCACTCAAATGTTGACTATTCATAGGGACAGAAAAAGCATAGGCCCAACAACATTTTTTTTGGAAACTAACAACTGCGACAAAAAATGTACACTTTTCTTATAAAAAATATTATTTATTTCAAACCATTTGCAAATAAATTACAATACGAATAAGAAATTATTTTAAATCCAAATGTGTGTTGCTATATGGTTAACCCTGAAATATTGCCACTATTATTCTGAGCGCTGCTGTATGTGCAATGTTTATTGGAGTTTGGCAAACCCAATTCGTGTTTTTTCTACCGTTTTTCGCTAGTTTTTTGAGGTTTTTTCTGGCCATTCCCCAGTTGCTAATTGCCAGTTGCCTTTTGCTCCACTTCGCCACACGCACATACACTCATACTAACTCACACACGCAATAAAAAACTAAACTTTTGCATGCAAGCGACTGCTTTGTGTGGGTGTTATCTACACGAATGCTTGTGTGTGTGTGTGTGTGAATATGGCTGCCGCAATAGTTTGCACAAATAGAAAACGCATTTCATGGGCGGACATCTTTCGCCCTCTATCTTTCCCCCTCTTTCGCACACACTCTCTCCCCCTCTCGTACCCTCTCGTTTCTACTTTTTTGAGCTTTGGTTTATCTGCATCGAACAGTTGGAATGTGTAAAGTTTCATTGCCATTTCTAAATGTGTGTGTGTGTGTGTGGGAGACTCATAAAATGGCGCACATGAAATGGATGAAACATAAAGGAAATGGTCGATTGCAAAGGAAAAAAAACAGGGTTTGTCATAAAAATTGCAATATTGCAAATAAGAGTAATTGTGAGTTTCTGCGCTTCAAGTAGCATAATTGATCATTTGTTTTATTTCTTAAAAGTTTTATTTTCTTAAAAAATATAAAATAGGGACTGGCCAACACTTAATAATTTCAATTCCCTACAAAAATTTGAAATCTAACTGGTGACGAAAACAAGAGCAAATTTGTCAATTAAAACCTCTTACATCACAATTCAGAAGCGAATGCTGATAATTCTAAAAGCATAAGAACGCGCACAATCACACAGACACGCGTGCAGAAGGGCGCAACAAATAAATAAAATACAAAAAATGTAGACAGAACTATACATAAAAACACTAGCAATTCCACTTGCCACTTTGAGCTATGTAAAATAGCAAACAAAGAAATAAACTCATAGGCCTATGTACACACTTGTCAGGCCATGTAGGAGTGCCTTTGCCATCTCTTTTCCCCCAATGCTCCCTCTCTTTTTCCTTCCCTTTTGCGAACGCAACGCAAAAAAATTCACAAGTCGCATCCGAATGAAAAAAAACGACAAAAAATATGGCGTGGCCTACAATTAAATTGGCTCAAAGTGCGTAAGGGGCAGCCTGCACAGCAACAAAAATAAAACTACGAACAAAAACCGAAATAAAACAGCAGCAGCGATAGAAAAAACCTTGAGCTGGCACAACATAATTAAAAATGTGCGTATACGCACACAATGATAGGCCCCCAACTAAAAAAACGCGCACTAACACTCTCAAACTTTTGCAGTGCGTAGAGCTTTTCCCGCTTCACAAATGACATTCACGCGCAATAAATATCAGACTATACCAGCCCAGCCGAATAAAAAATCGTGAAATCAAAAAAGCTCCACTGCAAATCCAACAACAAAACAAGGAAGTCTAAAAATGGTTTCAGCAGCACCAACAAAAACCCGTGGTTCGTAGGCCTAATCTAATGCAATGAGAGCAAGGGAGATGGGTACAGTTTTGGAGCTTTAGCACGCACTTTTCAAAGCTTTTCTAGGCGCCACGCTTATTAAGATTGAAGCTTTTCAATGCGATGATCAGTAGCAGATACAGATACTTTTGGGATCGACGAAATTATTAGTTCTAATTGATAAGGTCTTCATTTTGACACAATACGATCGGAATTTTTGCATAAGTATGGGTAACTTTTTAAACTTGGGTGCAGACGATCGTTTCAATGTGCAGATACAGTCAAGAAGATAACGCAAACATAACCGACATCCCGAATAGATTAAGCTTAATTCAAATTTAAACACTTCCTGTTCACAACCAAAAAAAAATCATATTCAAAATCAGATCTTCCGACTGCATTAACTTCTATACCAATTTAAATGCATCGGTGACACAATTTCCATCTCCCTTTAACCCCAAAAGAAAGAACCGAGAGAACGGAACAGAAATGATTATTTAATTGGAGAACCTTTGGTCCCCAATTTCTTTTTAATAACAGCTAATTATGTCAAGTATAATACACGCAAACACTTCAGAAAAAGCACTTCAAGCACATGCAACCATACATAATTCCCTTAAATTGCCGCAATCTGTAAAATCTGTTACTGTCCCTGTCACACGAGATGTTTGTTTGTTATAATTTGATGTATTTCTCCTCTCTCTTTTACCCCTTTCTTGGCTTTTTCCCCCATTGGGACAGTTTTTTTTCGATGCGTTTCCACCTTCGATGCTTCCACTTCCTCTGGATTTTCCTACCTCCCGGGTTTTCTTCCCTTCCCCCCTCTCTCCCGAAAAGAATCTTGAAGAGTGCACTCGGCGGTAGAAAAAAGCGAGAAGTGGAACAAAAAGGCACAAAAGAAAAATGGTTAAGGAAATTAAAAAGCATAAAAACAACAACAGCGCCAGCTTCCGTTAAAACAAAGCGAATTCAAGTGGAAGAAGGAACAAAGAAAGCGAATAAAAAAGGGTTACCGAAAGGAGAGAACGAGAGAAGAACACATATGCAGCATTTACCGTTAGAGCCCTTCGAGGGCGTTCTTTCTTCCTCCCCATTCTTGTGGTTAATTTTTTTTTTTTCTGACTTGGCTGTCGTGTTTTCTTTTTGTACTTTTTGTGTGTGTTTTTTTGTTGCTTCTTTCGCTGTTTCTGCTTCGTTTAATATGCAGAACTTT